AGGTAGAACTCAACTCCAACAAAAATGTTTATCCCCAAACAGAGATTTGGAAATTAAAAGACCTTATGCTGAATGATAGTTGGATTTATAAAGAGATGAAAGAAGAAATTATTAAATTCTTCAAAAATAACAGCAATGAAGACACAAGTTACCCAAACCAGTGGGATACACCAAAAGCAGCTTTAAGAGGGAAATTTATTTATAATACACAAAACTACAAAAACACAAATGTTCAACAAATAAATGAAAAAATTGTTTTGTCATAACACATGACACTCAGAAATGTAAATGAATACACAAAAATATATTTAGTGAAAGATGTAAAAGAAAAAATAACACAATCCAAATAACTGGAAAAAAGAGGACAAAAAAGGAAAAAATAAGACAGTAAGCATATATAGTAAAACTAGTGATGTCTAAATATGTTGGCGATCACATTACACATAAATGGATATGATCTTTAATTAAAATATAGAAATTCTACCAGGCATAGTGGCTCATGCCTGTAATTCTACACTTTAGGTGTTGAAGACCGGAGGATCACTTGAGGCCAGAAGTTTGAGACCAGCCTAGACAACAAAGCAAACCCCCATCTCTGCAAATAATTTAAAAAAATTATCCAGGAATCATGCTGCCAACTTGTAGAACTAGCTACTGAGGAGGCTGAGGCAGGAAGGTCAGGTGAGCTTAGGAATTCAAGGCTGCATTGAGCTATGACTCTGTCAGTATACTTCAGCCGAGATTACAGAGTGAGACACTGTCTCTTAAAAAAGAAAAAGAAAGAAAGAAGGAAAAAATATAGAAATGGGGAAAGAAGAAAGGGAGGGGAGGGAGGAAGATGGGTGTAGGGAGGGTGATTGGTGGGATCATGCCTATGATTTATCCTATAAGGGTACATGTGAATCTTACTAAATGTAGAATATAAATGTCTTAACACAACAACTAAGAAAATGACATGAAGCCTATATTAACCAGTTGGATGAAAGTATTCCAAATTGCATATAGAAACAGCCCACTGTACCCCATGATAGTGTTAATGTATACAGCTATGACTTAATAAAAAATAAAAAGAAATGGGTAGAAAAAATATAAATATCTCTCTTTTATTTGAAGAGTGTATCTAAATTATGAGGGCAAAGTTTAAAAAAAATAAGAAAGGCTTATAATAAGTATATCTTAATCAAAAGCATGCTAGTTTTATAATTTTAATATATAAACTTTGATCCCCAAAACTCTTTGTTTATAGAAACTGAATACCAAGGGTCTTAAAATTTAGTTGGTAAAAATTAACATAATAAGAAGAAATTGACTGGCTTATGATTACAATGGGTTATTTTAACACAATTTTCTCAGAAAATAGAGTCAAAATAAATTGTTAACTAAATTTATGACTGAGATATCATAATGGACCAGTTTGATTAAATGGACATGCATATAGCACCAAAACTTTTAGGCACACATGAAAATTTAAAAAATTATCCCTTTCTTAACTCAAAAATCAAGATATATTTTAAAAGATTTCTGTTATACAGGTCAGTTGTCTGAACACAATTCAATTATTGTTAACAATAATTATAGAAAAGTACCTAAAATTATTTTAATTTGGAATAAAAATAATACAGCTGGTTCAGAGACTTATTTTGAAAATAAAGAAATGCTTATGCTAAATGTTTATAAAGCACTGCCTATCCGTACCAGTGGTGAATACCAGAGATAGGATCTGGATGGAACTTTATAATTCAAATGCTTATATTTTTAAGGAAAGATGTAAAAAATTAAAAAGGTAAACATTCAACTTAGTAATTGAAGAAAAAAGTGGATTACAATGTAAGAGAAAAAATAATAACAGCAAGGATAGGATTTAGTGAAACAGAAAACAGAGATAAATAAAGGACAACCAAGCCATGTAAAAGCAGGAGGGATGGAGGGGTGGAGGG